GACTTGCTCCTGGTTTTGTCAGTGCCACAAACACTATTCCCATGACTTGATAGTCTCCCCATGCAGATGTTTGAGTCCTTCTTTAATCAGGAAGGTGGAAAAGTTTCAGTAGTCAGTACAGATTTGTTGCATTGTCACTGAAGGTATGTTTACACAGCAAAGAAAAGGCCGTAGCTGGCTCTTACGGGCCGATTTGGGCTCGTGGCTTGGACTGCAGGGCTGTTACACTGCTGTGTAGACTTCCAGGTCCCAGAGCCAGGGTTCCAGCCTGAGCCCAGAAGTCTACACTGCAATGTAACAGCTGCAGGTTTTTCTTTGCTGTGTAGACGTACGTCACTACAGCAGTTCAGAGTAACTTCTTATACCAGCTTCTTATTTAACTTAATTCCAGCATAACCCTGGAAATTCTTCCCTTTTTCTTTTCTTTGTTCCTCTGATCTTTGCCCAGCAAATTTCCCTCAAAGCTTTACCAGGCTGAACACCGCAAACCAGGTCTGAAAGTTGCAAAAGTGATGCTTTTGAAAAGTAGCTATTTAAAGCGTGGTTTGGCCCTGTCTATAGGTGACAAGTTCTCAAGAAGTTCTTAACATTATAACCAAAATAAATACTACATGTCCAGTGACAGTGTCTCAGTTGTGACATATGACAACTTATTAAAGGGCAAATACTCTTTATAACTATTATAATTCTGGTTGGACTGTTCACTACAATATGCACTCTAGCTGCCTTTTTGTATACTGTTACAGCATATCTGATTTCACTACTGGTGTCTGATTACTGCTATCGATCACTTAGTGTCCAAAACTTTTTTCAATAAGATAGGAGGACAAGGAACTAAAACTTTACTCTTCTCTTGGCTCACCTTTTTATAGTTATTACTTACATTGGGTTAAGAGAAATTATGCATCTGGGAGCGGTTACTTTTGTATACTTTTTTTCTTAAAATAATATATGAAATCTTGGAATTAATGTTGTATTGTAATTACCTTTTGACATTTAAAAATAATGAAAGAAGCACTTGCAGCTAAGTAGTGCATTACATTCATACCCAAAAGCTTCATGCAGTTTGGAAACATTTACAGTGTACTGTCTTGTTTAGGAATAAATTAAACCATGGAATAGACCAGTTAATCTGCAGTGCCTTTTGGGGATGAGTGTAAATTTTAAATTCTTCCATGAAGAATTTAAAAACAGATCTGTGGTCTGAGACTCATGATCTTGATAAATTGATTACAGTCGAGTGCTCAGTCTGTTTTGTATCACATATAAATATTCTCATGTAAAAACTGAGTATCTTCGTTGGTTCTGAAATACTTTATTTTTTTGTGCGGTGTTCTGCTTTATAAAATGGCCAGTTCATACAAATACACCTCTACTCTGATATAACACGACCCGATATAACATGAATTCGGCTATAACATGGTAAAGCAGCGCTCTGGGGGGGGCGGGACTGCGCATTCTGGCGGATCAAGTTCAATATAACGCTCTTTCACCTATAATGCAGTAAGATTTTTTTTGCTCCTGAGGACCGCGTTATATCGGGGTAGAGGTGTATGCAAAAATGGTTGACTGAAGTGGAACCTTTTTTTCTTGTTAACACATCTGCGTTAGTGAGAAGTGCACATTCTCACGGTAACTAAGCAGCATGGTTACCTGTCATAGTTTCCTGAAACAGCAAAAGAGTTTACATCTTTTTAATTATTTACGGTACTCATCCATACTCTCAGCCTTAACTCCGTCTTAACATTAGTTTTATATGGGAATCTTTTGTTTTTGTTTTTAAATTAATTTCACACATGAATGCTAAACAAGAAACCCAAAGAACGCTACCCTGTGATAGTTTGAGTTGTAGATATGTAATATGAACCTTTAAACCATTTTTGTTTTAAGGCCGTATTTGTTGTTGTGCTCTGGCAGCTTTGTCATTTCAGAGCAGTCTAAAGCATCTGGAGCACATTGGCCAATTAAATGATTTTTACAGCGACTCTGTATCCGTGAAGCAGCACAAAACATTCAGGGCATACTGGCGAATCTGGCCCATAATTTCCACAGAATGCAACTATAATTTTTTTTTTTAGTGTAATGACAGTTGAGGCTAATGCAATGATAGTTGAAGGCCAAATAATCTTAGTGAGAACTCTTGACACATACAGCTCCTTTGTGCCGTTGACTTTCTTCAGCCCACAGAATTGAAAGATCCAAATTAACTAGAGAGGGAAAGTGATTGACATCAAAGGTAACTAAATCAGATGTCTATACTTAAGAGTAACCTGAGCTGTATACATGGCCCTCTCTATTTTATAATAACTGGCTAAAACAGCAATTAATACACTTAATTGCAACCTAACTTCTTGTACGTATGCTAAATTTGAAGATCACAATGAATTTTTAATCCTAGGTAAACCTTGAATTCTTGTGGTGGTAAAATCATTTGGGACAAAACAGGTTTGAGTACTAAATTTCTTAGTTTACTTTTAACTCAGAATAGTCAACTCACTTGTAAATTCTCAGAAAACTCATTCTGTACTCAGTAAATGCTTTAAGTTTGGTAGGGAGGAAGGACTTGCTATTCTTCACACAATAAATATGCAGAAAATAGATAGGGACAGGTTTGGACAGTAATTATTTAATGACTGTAGATGTTGAGATTCAAAAAATTAGTTTTGTAACTGCTAAAATACAAATTGTGAACATCCTCTGTCAAAATATACAAAGTAAATATCCTTAAATCAAACTCTAACTTCTCAAGCAGCATTTTCCTGACTTAACTGAAAGTTACAGATAAGCAATTAGTGATGGCAGTACTTAATTGGTTTTCATGTATGTAGTGAAATCGACATTTACAGGTAAATCTAATCCTTCCAATCCTAATAAACATAGGCTGAATCCCTGCATTAGGCACAAAACACATCCTTATCTTAACTGTAGAGTTGATTTTTGCTAATGTATCTCCTTCCTTGACAGAAAGAATCGCCAGCGTTCAAAGGATCAAAGTAGATCACAGGCCTACTGGCTCCTAGAAACAAAAGATCAGTTTAGGACAACCAATAGAACTATATTTCAGCTGTCTATCTCTGTATATTAGCGTTGTCCAACATCTGTTTGTTTTAAAGCATTTGTGATAGGGGTGCAAGCACCAATGAGACAATATTTTTAGTCCAGATTGATGTGACTTCTACAAGTGTCAACCACAACCTCGCATGGAGCTTCCTTTTCACAAAAACCTAAATCAAGAATGTTCATTTCTCCCTCTCCTATATAAAATGAACGCTAGTAAAAGAGAACAGTTTCAGATTAATCACTAAAGGCTATGGAAACAATTTTGACTTGAAAATAGCTTTTATTTTTAGCTGTATTCCTATGGCCTTCTGTGTCTTTATAAAACCACAATGTTTATTTAATTTTAAATAACTAAAAAGTGGTGGTGGACAAAAATGAATTATGAAAATCAATGCTGATTGGTAGAAGTGGTAAGGTGCTTTTGTCAAGCTCTGTGGAACAGAAGGAGAGTTGATATACAAAAACATTTTTTTTTATTTGGAACTACCAAAACCAACACTTTAATAATAATAATAAAAAAAAAAAGTGGTGGTGAAGAGTAAATTGGAACTTCTCTGGCTGGTGGAAACCATGAAATAGCAAATTCTGAAAATAAATTTGGCATATTTTGAGGTGATTTTCTGTAGTTGGGTTTTTTAATTACCAAAACTATTTAATGTAAACAAGATATATTTTTTTCCCTCCCTCCCCCCTCAGACTGAAATCAACTCATTCCAATTAAAATACATACAGTTACAAGAAGTAGTGTGCATTGAATCACAAAAACAACTAGAGGGCTACACACTTCATTGTGTTTGTAAGCTGAATTGGCAGGTGGAGGGCAGGGCAGGAACTTGGTCTCTATCCCTGAACTGGTAGGACTCTCTCCATTAACCCTGACCATGCTGTTTGCCCTGGTCACCTCTCCCCTGGTTTAGATGAAGTAAAACAGTTTTGACTAGGCCAATGTTTCCCAAACTTGGGACGCTGCTTGTGTAGGGAAAGCCCCTGGCAGGCCAGGCCGGTTTATTTACCTGCCCCGTCCGCAGGTTCGGCCGATCGCGGCTCCCACTGGCCATGGTTCGCTGCTCCAGGCCAATGGGAGCTGCTGGAAGCTGCGGCCAGTATGTCCCTCACACAGAATTGTGACATCACTTCAGGATCTGGCAAGCGTGAACCTGGGCTGTTTAGGGTGGAATCCTGGGGAAATTCAAAAAAGGACTATCCAAGTAAACTTTTTCATAATGTAAAATGTCTTTCTATGCTCACGCAAAAGTGGAAGGGCTTATTTTAATGTCTTTTAAAATAGACTTTAATCCTGTGAGGATTTGGGGAGCGTGGGGGGAGGGGGAATGGAAATCCCTAATAAGAATGCATTTTGGTGTTGGGGGTATTTGACTTTCGTTTTTTTTTTTTTTTTTTTTGGTCATTTAATCTTTATGCTCTTGTATTTGCTGTATCCATTGAGACACATGTACATGTCCAGATTTTCAGCTTAATTATAAAGGGCACTAATTAGTTTAAGTAATGAATTCTGTGTTCTGTCGTGCACAAATACAATTTAAAAGAGGAAAAGACTTGTGTTCAACCACTTGTTTTGATAGACTTCAAATCTTTCTCATAAATTTGAGTGAAATCCTTCTCTAATTCAACCTTTGTCTTTTGTCTTTGCTGCCTTGCAGGGTTGGTACAGTAGGCCTCACTAGACTTAGCTGCAGCTAAGAATTTCTCCTACATCAACAGAGTTAATGCTGATGCTCTTGTGGAAAGTCGATTAAAAGTGCGTGCTAAGTTCTCAAATTTCCATTTAAGAAGCGGAGAAAATAAATCTGTCTTCTCAAAGTGTACTACAACCACCACCATCAAGACAGCAAACCAAGGGACAAAGAATTTGATCTGCAGTATTGATAAATGTAAACTGGTTCACATATTACTCTAAAGACTTCTTGGGGGGTGAAAATTGGACATCGGCAGTCGCAAGTCATTTTGTTTATAAAAATGAGGGCTTCTTTGGAAACAGCAGACATTGCCATTGTGACACTGTACTTTGTGCTTGTACTGTGCATAGGCTTTTTTGCCATGTGGAAATACAATCGAAGCACCGTAAGTGGCTACTTCTTGGCAGGCCGTTCTATGACATGGGTAGCTATTGGTGCATCCTTATTTGTGAGCAATATTGGGAGCGAACATTTCATTGGGCTCGCAGGATCTGGAGCAGCAAGTGGATTTGCAGTAGGTGCGTGGGAGTTCAACGCCTTAATGCTTTTACAGCTTTTAGGATGGGTTTTCATCCCAGTCTACATACGGTCAGGAGTATATACCATGCCTGAATACTTGTCCAAACGTTTTGGAGGACATAGAATTCAAATATATTTTGCTGCGTTGTCTTTGATTCTTTATATCTTCACCAAACTTTCTGTTGATTTGTATTCAGGTGCACTCTTTATTCAAGAATCTTTAGGTTGGAACCTTTATTTGTCAGTTATCCTGCTTATTGGAATGACTGCTTTGTTGACTGTGACTGGCGGTCTCGTGGCTGTCATCTACACGGACACTCTTCAAGCTTTGCTTATGATTATTGGTGCCCTCACACTCATGATCATAAGTATGATGGAGGTTGGTGGGTTTGAAGAAGTTAAAAGGAGGTATATGTTGGCAACACCAAATATTACGTCAATCTTGTTGACCTACAATCTTTCCAATACCAACTCTTGTCATGTCCACCCAAAGCCTGATGCTCTTAAAATGTTGCGTGAGCCAACTGACGAAGATGTTCCCTGGCCTGGATTTCTGTTTGGGCAGACCCCAGCTTCTGTATGGTACTGGTGTGCTGACCAAGTCATAGTTCAGAGGGTTTTAGCTGCAAAAAATATTGCTCATGCCAAAGGAGCCACACTAATGGCAGGTTTTTTAAAGCTGTTGCCTATGTTTATTATAGTTATCCCAGGGATGATTTCACGTATACTGTTTGCAGATGAGATTGCCTGCATCAATCCTGAACACTGCATGCAAGTCTGTGGAAGCAGAGCTGGATGCTCTAACATTGCCTATCCACGTTTGGTGATGAAACTTGTACCAGTTGGTCTGCGGGGACTCATGATGGCGGTAATGATTGCTGCGCTAATGAGTGACTTGGACTCTATATTTAACAGTGCCAGCACTATATTTACACTTGATGTCTACAAACTCATACGCAAGAGTGCCCCATCTAGAGAATTAATGATTGTAGGAAGAGTGTTTGTTGCTTTCATGGTAATTATAAGCATTGCTTGGGTTCCAATAATCGTGGAAATGCAAGGAGGCCAGATGTATCTCTATATACAAGAGGTAGCGGATTATTTGACTCCACCAGTGGCTGCGCTGTTTCTGTTGGGTATATTTTGGAAGCGTTGCAACGAACAAGGGGCATTCTATGGTGGAATGGTTGGGTTTGTTCTTGGATCTACAAGGCTGATATTGGCATTTATTTATCGTGTCCCTGAGTGTAACCAGCCTGATACTAGGCCAGGCTTCATCAAAAATATCCACTATATGTATATTGCTACTGCTCTGTTTTGGATCACTGGAATTGTGACTATTACAGTAAGCCTCTTTACACCACCACCAACAAAGGAACAGATTCGAACAACCACTTTCTGGTCTCTAAAAATCAGGCCTGTAAAAGAAAATGCTTCAAAAGGGGATCCATATAAGGTACAAGAAAAAAACATCTTGAAATGTAATGAAAATGCCAATCATATCCTGCCAAATGGCAAATCTGAAGAAAATATTAAAAATATTAAGCCTGAGGATATAAATCTTCTAGTTACTTGCAGAGAAGACAGCAACCCAGTGATTTCTGTAAGTCACTCTGAAGTTGAGACACCAGTTGATTGTTATTCCAATGGACAGGTGGCTCTCATGGGTGAGAAAAAGCGTGAGGAAGAGACTGATGATAGAGATAAACATTGGAAATTCATAGATTGGTTCTGTGGCTTTAGAAGTAGAAACATGAATGAAAGAGCCATCCAAGATACGGAGGAAGAGACTCTCTGTTTACAAATGTTGGAAGAGACTCCAAAAGTTAAACTTTTACTAAATATTGGACTGTTTTGTGTCTGTTCACTTGGAATATTCATGTTTGTCTATTTCTCTTTGTGAGTGGTGAAGCTTTAAGGGTATGGCTAAACATACAGAAGCTGAAACAAGTCTCTCTGGAGAATTTTTAAAAAATATACATAACTTGCATCTCAGGCATTGTTTACGCTATATTGTAAAATCAACTTGTCAGCCAATTTAAAGACCATTTGAGATGTGTATTATATTTCCTCTGTTTAAATAAGGAAGAATATGGTTTTTAGTGCAGTGTTGCAAGCTGTGTGTGTGTACACCAAAGAAAAAGGAGGTGGCTGTTTTTAAGGAAGAACATTAAGGTGCTCAGTCCAATATTAAAGTGGGGGGGAAAAATTAAGTGTAGAATTGGTATTATCAAGGCTGTCAATCTAAATTTAAAGATACCCCTACATAGTTTATCCTCTATCATACTTGTACTAACTTGACCAACATGTTGCTGCTTAATTTTGCTTGCAGCTTTTCACTTTTTAAAAACTATGTATAAAAAATGTGTGGTGTTTAAATCCCACAATTCATTTATACTCAACAAAAAGACAGCATTTTGAATGCCCTTAACTCCTCATGTATTATTTTGGAACATGCTGTCACTCTGCAGCCGCCTTCTACTCTTCTCCATAAGATTAGAAACCAAACATACTTAGTCACAGATTTGAACCTTTTTTTTTTTTCCCTATCCAATTTAAACACTGGTATGGTGAAAGATTGATATTTATTTTTGAGGGATGGGTGCAAGTAAGCCTGAGGTATTACACTCAGTTTAACTTTGTAAACTTTAGTTTATGATCCTACTGAGGGAGGGGGGAAAAGGGATGGATACTCTACCTGAATTTTCTAGTAAATGTTGACCAAAACAAATTCACTCCCACCCTATTCCAAATTTCTCTAACATTTTTGCTGTGTACATGAGTATGGTTAGCTTCTCCTTAAGGAGCAAGCTCCAGATGCATGCTATCCCTTGGAAAAGAGATCTGCCCAAGAATGATCAAAGTGAAACTTGAATATGCTTCAACTGGATTTAAAAAAATTAAATACCCCTGAAGGAAACATCTAGCAACCCTATCACCAAGCTAGATGCAATGCAGTCTGTTAAATGTTAACAAACGTGTACTATGGATATTTGTTTTAAATTGCTATTTCGGAAGAGGGAAGTGGAAGCAACAAATAACAAGAGTCTGTATTTAGCACAGTACTCTTTCTTTCTAACTTCATATGTTAGGAAAAACATAGTATGAAGGATTCCCCATGGGGAAGTAAGTGAATGTAGTGGGCAGCTTAATTATCTTCAGCTGGGCTCTTTTTGATGCGTATGTGGAAAAGCAAAACAACTTTTTGTGCTTTAGCAAAGCAACCTCAAATTACAGGAATGCACAAAAGATGTGACTTTGATTGAGGTTATTTCCCCTAGGGGCTGTTACTGGCAACTGTATTAAGGGTTTGCAGAATTGGACACAGTTTAATACCCAATTTAATTACCCTGAGTAGCCTGTTGATTTTAATGTAGTGTGCTACTTGGTGTGAGTAAAAATGGTAGGTTAATGGAATCTGGGTTGAATCTAATTATTGACTGTTGGAGGAAAAACATCTTGCTGCATAGAACTCCAGTGGGTCACTGAACAGCTCTTGGTAAACCAACAATAATTAGATTATCAGATGGAACTGGTAATTTACCGTACTCTTGAAATAGCAATTGAGACTGGTAGGTCTGTGGATTTGAATAGATGCCAAGATGTTTCACAGCAACTACTGTTCGTTATCAGCTTTGTTTAGATCTTGCACTTGGAGGGTAGAACACGGTGGATCACAATATAGAGATGAGCATATGAGCCATGTTTGAATAGTGTAGATGACGGCCATTACTGTATGTGGCTGAGGCTTGGTTTTGGTAGTGTTGTGTCAATGTGTGTAAAAGTTGTTGTTTCAATGGGTTACTTCATACAGAAAAACATTCTTTTTTTAAATGATAAATTCTTAGTACATGAAAGATTCTGTAAAAATGGAAACTCAAGTTCATAAGTTAGTTATTGGAGGTGTAATGGGGGTATACACGGTATACAAAAATGAATAAAACTCTTTTTATATGGAGGGTAAACAGTAAAAAGCTTGGATGCGTTTGCCCTAAATCTAGATGGATACACTAGGAAGAGGAGGGGGATAAAGAACTCAGGGAGCCTTTACCCCTTTGTATACAGACAGAGTGGCTATGGACCAAGAGCTTCTATATGCGTTTTCAGGGCCTGGCTGAAATGCTCAGTTGGGCTCAGTGGCACACTTGGGGTATGTGGTCTGCCATCTTTGGGATGTTAACCAGCACTATCCCCTACTAACTCCGCATACATTTCCATCAACAACTGGCATTAGAGGGTTTGCTTACTGGCCCTTCTTGATCTAGTTTTAATGACTGTATTACCACCTGCCTCTCACAGGTAGGCTGGCTCAGGGACCCTTTGCTTTACTGCCACTGCTTCAGTTCTTCTTACCCCTTCCCTAGAATGCCTCACACAGTAATAGGGCCAGAAGCATATATCTTGCCTCCACCTAGATAAACAGCAGCCTGCCTAGTACAGTCTATTCCCTTGTTCCTTTGCCCCAGATGAGTTCTTTTCTGCCAAGCCCACTTTACATGTTTACTGCACAGTGCCCAGTGCCATGTACACTCATACTTATGATCAGTGATAAAATTTTAACCCTGTAACATGTAATATTCCCAAAGAATTAGAACTGTATTAGGTCTATGCTTTTAAAGACCAGTAGTTTCAGTGTATTGGCATGTTTGATCATACTTTGAATACTAAAATACACAGTTTACTTAGCTCTATCTTTTTTAAATTTCAATTTTTTTCATACTAAAAGTCCATATTACACTAGTTCTAAAAGTTTATTTCCAATGGGGATCAATCTAGTCCTGTCACTATGTAGCTTCACAGAAATAAGACAACCTATTGTTGGATTAATTATGGTAAAGTAGTGTTGTCATAGTTGGAAACTCAGTTGATAAAATGGCTGTATTCTCTCCGTGTCTTCATAACTGAGTCCTAGTCTACACTATAAACGTAGGTTGATGAAAGCCACCTTTCGTAGACTTAATAATACATGTGTCTACACTACAGTAGAACCTCAGAGTTATGAACTGACTGGTTAACCACATATTTCATTTGGAACCAGAAGTACACATTCAGGCAGCAGCAGAGACGTGAGGGGAGAGGGGGAAACCATCCAGTACAGTACTGTTAAACATAAACCACTAAAAAAAATAAAGGGAAAGTTTAAAAAAAAAAAACCCAACGTTGATGACAAGGTAAGGAAACTGTTTCTGTGCTTGTTTCATTTGAATTAAGATGGTTAAAAGCAGCATTTTTGTTCTGCATAGTAGAGTTTCAAAGCTGTATTAAGTCAATGTTCAGTTGTAAACTTGAAAGAACAACCATCACATTTTGTTCAGAGTTACAAACAACCTTCATTCCCCAGGTGTTCATAACTCTGAGGTTCTACTGTACCATGTCCCTTCCACTGACCTAACTCGCCTGTAACGTCGACTTAATTCACCTTCGTGAGAGGTGTAGCGCCCACATTGTTGTTGGTGGGTCAGAGAGGCAGTGTAAACGCAGTGTTGTGTAAGTTGACTGAATTGGCCTCCAGGAGGAGTCCCACAGTTCTCAGCTATGATTACTCTGGAGATGGTTTTCAACTCTGCTGCTCAGCAGCCAGGTACACAGGAAACCGCCTCTCCCCTGTTAAAGACCCAGGAACTTTTGAATTCCCGTTTCCTGTTTGATCAAAGTGGAGAGCTCGCCAGCACAGCTGACCATGGAGAGTCAAAGCTCCAAACGTGCTCCAGCCTGAAGTAAGTACACAGGAGGTGGTGGATCTTACTGGTCTGCAAAGAAAAGAGTCGGTACAGGCACAGCTCTAATCCAGCTGAAGAAACGTAGACCTCTACAAAAAGACTGCATGGGACATGAGGGAGAAGGGCTACACCAGGGACATGTAGCAGTGCCACGTGAAAATCAAAGAACTTTGGCAGGCGTACCAGAAGACAAGGGAGATGAACAGTCATTCTGATTCTGCCCCACAGATATGCTGTTTCTACTATGAGCTGCATGCGATTCTCAGTGGCAACCCCACCACTACCCACCTACCATAGCATGGATACCTCCCAGGAGTCTGAGTCCAGGGCCACCTCAGGTGAAAACGAGGATATTCTGGATGATGATGAGGCAAATGGGAGGGAGGTGAGTGGGGGATCCATTCTCCTCAAGAGCCAGGAGCTGTTTTTAACCCCAGAGCAGTCCAGCTGGTTGCAGGACAGCATGGTTGCCAAGCATGATGCCTCAGAAGGCATCTCTGGTGATTATATGCAATTCCAATCAAACTGTAGGGGTTACATGCTGTTATATTTTTTTGTTTTAATATGAAGAAAAAGTGAGGTGCAGTGAGTATCTGCCTCCCGGTGGCTGCTTCAGTTATATAGAGGGTGCCCCTCCGCCCCCAGAAAAGACTGTTTATGTGCATAGGGATGGCCTGGGAATCCTCCATGGAGATCTCTAGGAAACTTTCATGGAGGTACTCTGCAATCCTTTGCAGAAGGCTTCTGCGGAGGGCTACCTTATTTCTCCCTCCACGGTAGGACACTTTCCCATGCTACTCCAGTAGCAACTGTGCTGGCATCATTGCAGCAGCAACATGCAGACCTGGTCTGTACCCAAATGTTTGCAGCATTTGTTCCTGTGCCGCCTCTGTTTCCCTCAGGAAACTGATATTGCATAGGGTCCACCTTGGGGTGGAAGTTTTTCATTACAAGTGCTCAGACTGCAAACAATAGAGCATGTGATATTCTCTTCCCCCTCCCTACTGCCCCATGGTGGTTTCTGGGTCCCTTGACCATTGTTTCCCAAACATGCTGGTGGTTTGGTTGGCAGGGATTGGTGTTGACCTCAATCTGCAAGCCCAAGGTGACTACTACCAGCAATGTTAAGGTAAGAGGCTGGGTGGGCTTCCTGTGTTCCCTTGCGGCTGCAACCCTCTTTCTTCTCCCCCTCCCACTCCCCAAGCCGCTTTGGAAAAAGACCACAATTTGGGAAGCTTAAAGCTGGTCCTTGGTCTCAAAGCAATGTCTGTGTTCCTAAGGCAGGGCATTGTCCACCTACCCACCTGTGCTCCCAATGCGGGTTTCCCACAAGTTGCAGCACAAGACCTGTTACCCAGGCTGCTGGGCCATACTCACCATGGCTGGAACAGCAAATTGGTTCATTGAACAGCCAGGGATTCTGATTATTTTCTGGCTTGCACTTCAGTGTAATAAGGGAAGTGATATTTAAATGGCAACCTTGCACTACACCCAGGGTATGCACTGACAATGGTTGCCTTGTGCTTTGCATGCCTTATAGTGGAAAGTTTGGCCTTCAGCATATCCTCCACGCTGGCGGAAAGGCTTTAGAAGATGGAAAAAAAATGCATGATGACATGTCCAACGAGATAATGAATGCCTCTGGGACAGCTGACACGGAGCTAAGAACCTGGAGGATTTCATTGTTTGAAAAACTGGACATAGCAACAGACAGATGGAGAGCATACCAGGAGCATGAGTGTCCCATGCAGGATGAGATGCTGCAGATTATGAAGGACCAATTGGACACATTGAGGCGTCTGAGCGTCAAGAAAAACAACTTGCAGCTAGATTCCCTCTACAGCCCCTGTAGAATGGCCTGCAAGCAATGCCCTGTTTTCAATACTCCTTCCCAAATGTTTCAGGAAGTGGCAGGGGAAGGGGCAGTATCCCTTCCATTCAACACTGGGGAGGGTGCTAAAAACAAAAGGCAGTCATTCAAAGACCTTTATTGGGCAAGACTTCCATTTTTTTTCAGACACAAGCAGGCTTGGTTTCTCCCCTCCAATTTTATCACACAGTTGGCCCAAGGTAAAATTATTTTCCTATGGGGGTGTGTGTGTGTGTGCGCGCGCGCAATAAAAGACAATGTTTAGAGAATTAAATACTTTTTTTTTTAATTTATTCCAAGCATGGGGACTTGGGGGAGGGAAGGTACAGGGGAACTGATGCAATGGAGGGGATGGTGGAGGAAGGCACAATGCAGATAAGCGGTGCACATTACTGTAGTTCATTACTGAAACTCGTTTCCAAAGCCTCCCAGAGAAACAGAGCTCCTTGCTTGGCTCCTCTTCTTGCCCTGGTATCTGTCTGCTCAAAATTAGCTGCCAGCCCATCTGCCTCCACACCCCACCCCTGCAGAAACTTCTCTCCCTTTACCTCACAGCTATTATGGGGCACACAGCAGGCACTGATAACAATGGGGATATTTTTCAGAGTAGCAGCCGTGTTAGTCTGTATCCGCAAAAAGAACAGGAGTACTTGTGGCACCTTAGAGACTAACAAATTTATTAGAGCATAAGCTTTCATGGACTACAGCCCACATGCATCCAAAGAAGTGGGCTGTAGTCCACGAAAGCTTATGCTCTAATAAATTTGTTAGTCTCTAAGGTGCCACAAGTACTCCTGTTCTTTTAATGGGGATATTGTTTTCACTGAGGTCTAATCTAGTAAGCAAACTGTGCCAGTTTGTCCAAAGACACATTGCACCACCAGTCTGCATTTGCTCATTCTATGGTTGAACTGCTCCTTACTGCTGTCCAGGGAGCCGATGTATGGCTTCACGAGCCATGGGAGCAAGGGATAGGCCGGGTCTCCCAGGATCACGATTGGCATTTCAACATCACCAATGGCTATTTTGCAATCTGGAAAGCAAGTCCCTGCTTGCAGCTTTCTGAACAGACCTGTGTTCCTAAAGATGTGTGTGTCACGCACCTTTCCTGGTCATCCCACGTTGATGTCGGTGAAATGCCCCTATGATCCACCAGCACTTACAGCACCATTGAGAAGTACCCCTTTCGATTTATGTAGTCTTTGGCAAGGTGGTTTGTGCCAAGATTGGGATATGCGTTCTGTCTGTTGCGGCAAAACCATCCACTATGTCCTGCACGTTTCCCAGAGTCCCTACCCTTCTTAGCAGAAGTCTATTAATGGCCCTGCAAACTTGGATCACAGAAGCTCCCACAGTTGATTTACAAACTCCAAATTGATTCCCT